GCACGAAGGCAGAAAGTGGTTTGTTGTTATTATTATTATTATTATTATTATTATTATTATTATTATTGAGAAGCATTGTCAAACCAGAATAGAGATCTTCACCCCTCCTCTCTCTCTCTTTCCCCCCTCTTTCCTTCTCCGAGGTTAAAACTATTATTTAAAACTATTATTTTCACGTTGCGCAACCGCGTCCGCCATTTTAACAAATTGATTCGTTAATATTAACGAAATTTCGTAAATATCAAACTTTTTAAAAGGAAAATTTCGGAATTCTTTTAAATATCGAAACGCAAAAAAACCCAAAAAACGAATTGATTTTAGAAACAAATTTTTCCGTTGTTACCCAGGCCTACTATCTACCCATTTTTTTAAAAATCGGTCTCCATCAGAGACTACATTAAAGAAAATTTAAAACGAAAGCATTCATACCTGTGGTCTGTGTTTGGGCACAGAGATACAAGCTATCTTAATAATGTTTAAGGTTTTGTTGGAATTGTAATTCTGTTTGAATGGAGCCCCCAGTGGCGCAGTGCATTAAATCCCTGAGCTGCTGAACTTGCTGACCAAAAGGTCACCAGTTTGAATCCGGGGAGCAGGGTGAGCTCTCACTGTTAGCCCCAGCTTCTGCCAATCTAAAAGTTCCAAAACATGCAAATGTGAGTAGATCAGTAGGTACCGCTCCAGTGGGAAGGCAATGGCGCTCCATGCAGTCATGCCGGCCACATGACCTTGGAGTTGTCTATGGACAACACTGGTTCTTAAAAATGGAGCACTACCACCCCGGAGTCGGATACGACTGAACTTAATGTCAGGGGAAAACCTTTACCTTTAATGGACATGAGGCCCTTAACTTATTTTACATCTCAAGCTGTCTTGGGGGCACTTCTGAATAAAAAGAAATTTTCAAGTTAAAACAAAAAACCAAGTCAAAGTGGGAAACTGTAGCATGAAGCCAGCACTGAAACAAAAGCATCTGCAGCTCTTCCTGCGTGACAGTAGCTTGAAACAACACAGATCGCAATTCTATAAATGTTTGAGTAGGAATACATTCCAGAGAACTCAATTCAATACATTTCTACCTATCCAGAGATACATAGGATTGCACTATAAATTGCTTCTAGGGGGTGGGTTATTTCATGGTTTCCAGTCAGTATCACCCAAAGAATAAAAAAAGCACAGTAAACTTGTAGAGACCATGTTGTAATTACAGGTAGCAAACACAAAGCATAATCTCTCCTCCATTTATCAAATTCTCTCCCTCCACATAAGGGACTTTTGTGCAAACCAAGAACTGAAGTTCAGTTCGAAAGTAAGAGCAAAAGTCAGAGCCCCTGGCTGCCGAATATACAGAAAATGATCAGGCAAACTGAGGTTAATGGGGCGACCAATCCTGTGACAAGCACCCCTGTATGGGGCTTTACACCCATTGCATCACTTTGTCACCATGTTACAGCTCTGGCAGGTACAGTTATTATCTGGCAGATTGCTTACTTCTAGTAAATTATTTCTGTTCGCCATTGCTCGGAAGGCAGACTCACAACAGTGTGGAACAATGATATCCATCACTACAGAGCAACCTTGCCTATTGTGACCCTCTTCATATGTTTCAACTTCAACCTCCCATCATTCCTGATTACCTGCCATATTGGCTGAGGTTCATGGAAGTTACAATCCAAAACATCTGAGGGCCCCAGACTCAAGAGGAGAAATGGTGATAGACAAAGAGGATTTGTACTGGATTCTACCCCATTAAACTGGTTTCAGTAGTAAAGTTATTTTCTAGTCCACTGTACTCGATAAAGTAGTCAAGTTCATGTCCAGACCCATTTTGATCTAGTTCAAGTTGTTCATGGAAAATGACAATCAGGATGTATGTTTTCTCATGTAACTGATCTGGTTCACCTACTTAAAAAAAGTAAGTGCGTATATGTGTGCCGAAAAAACAGACTACAGGTAGTCCCTGAGTTACAAACATTCAATTTACGATTGATTCATAGCTAAGAACAGGGGTGAGACAACAGGAAATGAGAAATCTACCCCTTGGAAGAGAAATTCACTCCTGAAAAAGTTATTATGGAAAAATGTGTCTCAACTGAAGTTTTCTCTCCAATCCTTGGTTTCACAGCAATCCAAATTTTTCAAAATCTAATTATCACAGGGACAGAAAGTGAGGGGAAATCTTCTGACCAGGGACACAGATAGCAAAGCAAACAATACATGGGTGTTAATACTTACCTATGCTATCCAAATATATACATATTTGGTTGGAGTTATACTTTTAAAAAGTCCCTGTTTTGGCTTACATATAAATTCAACTTAAGAACAAACCTACAGAACCCATCTTGTTCGTAACTTGGGGACTGCTGTACCAATCTTGTTTTTTTCTTTTTTCTTTAATGCAGCACTTTAGCATTTGGGAAGATTGCATATTTGAGACACTTCTCTGATGTATCAAGGGAATTCCTAGGACAAGATGGAGTAATATTTGGCTAGTCAGTTGTTTTGGCCTGCAATGGCCATCAGCTTTAGCCAACATGAGCAATGGTAAGGGAGCTGTTACCTAAAACATCTGGTGCCACATTCCTGCCAGAGGGAGTTTGAAGCAAGATCACCCATCTGCTAACTGATCTGCTACCTTTCCACCTACACCCGTTTGTTCATTGGAACTGTGTCCTGCAAATTAGGCCCCAGAGCATTAGATTTCTCCTATCAGTGTCTCACACTATTCCAGCAGAGTGCAGTCCCCATATATGCTCACCATGTTCTGCTCAGTAATATATGTACCATACAATCCTATGTACTTGTCCAAATGACCACTGCAACAGATTCCTAAGTATTGTATGCCTTTCAAAAGGCAAAATTCAGAGCAGCAAATAAATCACACCTTGGGAGGAAAGTACTAATATTATCATAGGAAAAGACCTATTTTTGCATTGAAGTTCTTGCTTTTAACTTAACTATTTTAGAAAAAAAATCTGAATTCTAGAAAAGTAGGAAAACATAATCTGTTATCAACAAGTCCAAGCTCCTCATCTACCCACATCCTATTATAAATGCCAGGTAGGTGGTTTGCAGGTATAACTAAGAGACAGGACTTTATTAGACAGATCCATGAGTTAACAAACCATAGGAAACAGCTGCACATGCGGTTTAGAGACTACACAGTGGTTGGATCATATCTAGCTTCAACTCCATAAGAATGTAGGGATTCACAATGCCCAGGGGCTCCTCAGCATGTATTAATAGTAAGAAACTTCCCATTCTTCCACTCATTCCAAAAGGTGCCAATTAAACCTGTGGTGAACAAGACCAAGTAGCTCTTTCCACATGATTAATGTTGTGTACTGCCGAAAGCAATAGATTGAACGGGCTGAAACAATAGCAACACCGAGATGAAGCCCTAAAAATTCTGAAATCATACAACAGTTATCGTGCTTTGTATCAGAGGGGAAATTCTGCAAACAAGTATGGAAACAAACATCAGATAAACTTTGCATCCGAAGACAATGGTTCCCACTATCTCTGAAAGCAGGTATTATAGCAGATCTAGACAGGTCAAATTTATTATTATTTATTTATTTACTTCATTTGTTGACCGCCGCTCTCAGCCCTGGGGCGACTCGCGGCGGTGTACAACATGTAAAAACAGTCTACAAAAACATACACACCAAGACTTGTTGAGGTTTCTTCCTTTTCATGCATTTTTGTTGTTGTTAAATTGACCGTATATGTGGAAATATTCTTGGCCTTTAAAATGAAAATTAATAATAAATCTGAATGTATGTTACTATTATTATACTCATACAAGCTACCATTTCACTGTTTGAGAACCACAGCAACTGTAGTCGGTTATTCGTTTAAGCATCATGGAACCACTGACACAGAAAGAAACTTAAATACTACAAATATTTATAAAATGCCATACATACTATTAATTTAATGACGATTCTATAATACAATAGAAGAGCATGCTCAAACAAAACACCTCAGCAGTATTTTAAAGCAGTAACCACCTAGCCAATTTCTGTATGTTCTGTAGTTTTTCTAATCCACTCTCCCTGTGGCTGAGCAAAATCGAATTGCCTCTCACATTTGCAGACAGCTCTGTGAAGGTGATAATAGAGCTGCACCCTGCTGTCATGAGGCAGGAAATAGGAAAATGGCATATGGGGCTAGGAAGAAATAAAAAAAAAAGAACCAAACAAGAACAAAAGAGATTTCAACAAAGGACAAACTATAACCCAATATGCTTTGCAAGTTAATCTCTTTTCATAATGATTTCACATAATCATTCATCTGCAAACTTTACCCTAAAACGTGAATGGTTGCAAAGTCTTTCAGGGAAGTTTTTTATTCGGAAACACTTGGAATATATATAAAGTGTCATATTCTATTTCAATAAAGTAAGAATGTGAGTCCTATTCAAGAAAGGACTAAATCTAGCCTAAAATGGGTTTTCCCTCAACGGTGTTATTGTAAACTGCTTTAGGATCTTTGCAAATGGGACACATTATAGACATACTTAAAATAAAGTGCTAACATTATCGTTTCAAGTTTAGTAAGAGTCACCACCCTAAAGTGTATCCAAAGAATAGGAAGCTTTGGTCACTGGACATAGAAATTGGATCATTAAATGCTGATTTAGAGACAAGTTGCACAACACTTAAATGGACCTTGCTTCTAATATAAATTGTAGGAACAGTATTTAATTTTTTTGTAAAAACAAACAAACAATAAATAATTCTCCAAGATCAAGAGGACAGAACAGAGAAAGCAGTTATGTAGCCACACTATGTATCCTTCAAATCCTTTCTTGAGAGACAGAAGCAAGAAACATGCATTCCCCACAATTTTCACCTAGAGAAATGTTGACATGGCAGTACAATTTCTAAAATTTCCCATACAGGATAAGCCAAAAGGGTTACACGGGAGATTAATTCAAAACTCACTGAAACAGATATGTTGGGCACACACAATTTTAATAGAAATGAACAACATACCTTTCCTTTTACGCTCTGGATGGGATCCACTACTACAGCTACAGCTCTTTCTGACAGGGCTTCAAAACTCTGTTGTGTGTTGATATCCACACCAGACAACCAACAGCCAAAGCCAGGATGACTGTGATACCAGCCAACAACCATCTCAGGTCTAAAACAAAGAAGTCATCCAGAGATTCAAGACCACTTGCAACATAAAGTACGAACGGTGACAATGGAGCAAGACCATTTTCAGTATTGCAAGAAAACATGTAGGTGAGAGGGGGGGAAAGCCCCAACCGAAGCCATGAATTAATGCTCACCAAATTATGGTCAAAACATGAAAATGTGCTGAAGGAGTGCTATCATTAAGGGATGAATATTAACATCAGTAGGTCAGGTTCTCAGCTTTTCACCCTGTTACCACACCTTCCGATTCAGTTTTTACCCTTTCAGCACTTCAGTAAACAACTGTTCTAACTCACTGGCACCCAAAGTTGGTTTTTCACGGCAGAATGTCCATTTCAGACATGGACGACAGGAAGAAGCGACGGGAAAAGATTAAATATCAATTAAACCGCAGCAGTGGGACTAGGAACTTGGTCAAAAAGCAATTTGCACTGTTCTGCTCAGCTGTTGAATCTTTTGCTAACATTAATTTTGTAGTTTTTGCTGTGGTACAAAAATCTGAGCAAGCAGATGACAACTGTTGAGAGAACCCAAGCACAGCCACAAAATTTGCTTAAATATTTCCATGGCTGTTCATCAGGAAACCTTTAGTGTGGTGTAAAGGGGCATTATGGCTGGGGAGCTAGCATGGAAATAGTCTCTTTTGTTCTATATTAGTACATATGTACATAAATTGTCATGGAATGAAGGAGTCCCACTTCCTCAAAAACAATTAGAACCTGAAAGTACTCAGTCGGATGCACTCTATTGGGTTAATGGGTTAAATAAAACCCCATTGTTGGACTTATGCATCAAGTTGCCTTAGTTGCACAAGACAGAAAAAAATCACTTTAGCTTTGATACCAGAAGACAATCGAATAGGAAACTAGGGTTTGCATGTACACTACTAGCTTTTTAAAAAGGCAAAAAGTTCCTTACCTTCCAGTTTGCTTTAGCATATCCAACATTTTAGCTTGAAAAACAGGATCGACTGCTTCTACACTGACCCCCTACATTTGGAGATAGATGGACAATAACAGTTATAGACATAGATTACCTAGCACATATAGTTAATTAACAAACTTTTCACAATCACTTTTTTTAAAAAAAAAACAGACATAATGATATGAATACAAACATATTAGTCCTTATGAACTCATTCATCATAACTAAACTTCAGCCTGATTTCAGTACAGCTATAATATGGCAAACTTAGTCTGGGTCTAGGCCAACAGTTTCTGTGTCATACTGACTAGCCAATCTGATTTCATTTATGACATAAGTTAATTATACAGGTTTATAAAATGTCATAAATGTGAATATTTTAAATAAAGCAAACAGCAGAAATATCTCTTAGTGCATGTATTCTGGTGTCAGAAGCTTGGGGCATGTCGCCCATCAACAATTGGAAGTCAATACATTGTTCTGTTGAGTTTTCATGCCTTTGGTATACTCCCATCTCAGTTTCAAATGTATATGTGGTGATTAGACATCTTCTATAATCAGCAATGCAAATGTTAGCAAGAAAAATAGTTCAATGAATTTACATCTAAGTCTGATTATGATATAAATTAACAAGACTACTCAAGACCTTGAGGTTCTAGGGCAGGCATGGGCAAACTTCGGCCCTCCAGATGTTTTGGATTTCAACTCCCACAATTCCTAACAGCCCAGTAGGCTGCTAGGAATTGTGGTAGCTGAAGTCCAAAACACCTGGAGGAGGGCCCAAGTTTGCCCATGCCTGTTCTAGTGTATCTCACAACACAGAAGAGACCAACATAGACTCACAATTTTTCTCCTCCACATCCTACACTATCAAATGATGGTTCTGATAATAATACCAGTCAAAGACTTCTCCTTCCTGAAATAAGTGTTGGCATTTGCTAAGTGGATGAAGTAAAGTTTACCCTACTGTTTTGGAACAGCAATGAATACATGACATCTGACAGGATATAAGTGAGAATTCATTAACAAGCCTATTCTGTAACACTGATAGTGACGAAGAAACAATGCACCTCCATCATCCTGCAACCTTGAGATACTCTCTTATGGAGCTCTTCAAACTGCCTAGGTCATTTTTCACCTCAGGGCAAATACAAAGGAAACTTCTCTGACTTATTTTTGGCTTGTACTTAAACAGTGAAAGTTGTCAAATCCTCTTAAAAGTATAGAGATTTACATTTTTGGGTCATGATTCACTAGACAAATTTAATTTGATTATGCTTTCACGCCAACAAAGAAACTGGTAATGTAACTGACTACATTTTTTAGCACTGCTTTGTTGTGCTAATAAGATCTAAGAAAAGGAAAATGATGAATTGTGTACAGAAAGGACTTCTCTGAAAGAGGAAACATTTCTATCCATTTTGAAGGAAACATACCCAATGGGGAGGAATGCTGGGATTACATTTCTCTCTCTACCCCTCTCTCTCACACACACCCCTCATTTAAAGGATCAAATTTCAGTTTGGGAGTTCTGACAGATACATCTTTGTCACTGGAGACAATCACAGAAAACAATTTCTGTTATCTGTTAAATTTATTTAACAACAGCTTCTTCTAAAGAAATAGTAGGCCTGGGCCCGAATCTGTTTGAATGAAAATTATTTGCAATATTCAGTGGTCCGTTTCATATAATTTCCGAAAACAGAATGGGGAGGAGGGAGCCGTAAAGCCCAGCAAAACGGATTAAGAGAGCTAGATTTTATCAGTTACTGGAAAGGAGAGAGTTAAGTCTGCAATATACCTGAGGCAGAGCCTGCCATGGGACTCCTGGAAAAGATGGAATTATTGATTTTTCTCCCTCCCCTGGCAGCAGCAGCATCTATCCATTTCTTTTTGAAGAGTTTCCTAGGCTCCTCCTCTAGAGAGGGTCCTGCTGGGAAATCGCTTTCCCAGCAGCACTTGCATGGAGCGGGCACTGATAAAGTCTCTGAGCATGATGGGAATTGAAGTTTTTCTCTCTCTGTTTCAGTCAATAAAAAGCCAGTTGTGTCAATGCTCTGATTGGCTAAGAATGGACACAACTGTCAACTACAATTCTCAGAACCCTCTCTTGCAGTTTGTCCTATTTTTTAAAAAATGTTATGGTAAAAACATAAAGTAATTCTAAAAAATCAGTAGATTGGTGAATTCTTTTGAAACTTGGCAGGTATGTAGTTGTAAATGGGGTCTAAAACTAAGATAGGTTTCATGCAGGCAGACTTTAAAATGATCGAGGAGTGAACCTTTAAAGTTTCCCATTGTAGCCAATGGGCCTAATTTTTGCCAAATGAAAATGGCAACACCCCTCCCGATTTGAGTTAACTTCCTGGTAAGCAGAATGAGGGGTTAGCCGACAATGAACCCCACAGTGGCATGCCTTTTGGCCAAACTGCACACTTCTAAAAAATAGAGGTCAGGAACAATTTTCTATGGCTTCATAAGCTCTCAATTACTGCAGTGTACTGCGCCTGAGATTGTCTTTGAAGACTTCTCAAAAAACTTCAGTTTGCGCAAAATGCAGCTAAAATCCAGACTGGATGTAAAGAACATAAAAGCTTTCGGACATATCTAAAATTTTCCTGCTGTCATGTTTGAAAATGCCCAAATCTTACTAGAGGCTGTTTTTGAGTCTTGCTGTCACAAGAGTAACTGAAGAGAAAAGTACTTTGTTTATGTTAGGGCTCCTCTTCATAAAGAAGTTCACCTGGCAGCAACACTGAGATCATTTCAATGTCAGGAGAAGACATTTTCATTTCCTCAGACTAATCTTAGGGTTTTTTAATACCTTTTTTTATCATCTTACGGCTGTACTCACATGATTTTACTGCCTTCCCATTTATATTTTCAAATTAAGCAAACAAGCAAACAAGTACAAATATAAAAATAATAACTGCATCCAGCTTTTTATTCTTCAAAGCCATGGCACCATTATCCTAAAGTGTAGCATAGAAATGTAGGCACAGTTGTGCCAGATTATGCTGAAGGTCTGCCTAATCTAGTATTTTATTCACACAGCGGCCAACCAGTTTTTTAAATGGGAAACCTGCCAGCAGGCACAAGTGTAAATGCGCTCTCTGTCTCATGTTCCCCAGCAATTGAGATGGAATATTGTCTCTGATGCAAGAGGTGATGTACAACCATTCTGATGATGGATGCAGAATAACATGGATTTGGTATACATCTTGTAATGTACAAGTCTTCAGAAGACTTCTAATTCAGATTCCCAAATCCCGTCTCAACAGAACTGATGCACTCAAGCAGCAATTCTGTCCAATGTGGTGGTGTGGTCTAAATGTTCGATTACAACTTCAAAATAACAGGATTCAAAACCCGTTCAGCTACATGAACACACTCAGAGGCCATGGATAAGTTACACTCTCTTAGGCTTTGAGGAAGGCAATGAAAATCCCCTCTGAAGAAATCTTGCCAAGAAAAACTAATAATAAGGTGTCATATGCTGAAACAGACTTGAAGTCACACAACATAAATAATTATTTAAATTAAAAATAATTTTCTAATAGGAATGTCTACAACAAGGTTTACTCAACAAATTCTGAATAGATGTTTAGAAGTCTAATTATTGATAAAATATAGTATAAGTTTGATCTTATGGTCACTGATATTTACAACAGGCTTACAAGCTGTATAGTTAAGTTCCAAACACGTAATTAGAAAATATTACATGGAACATCACATTTTTTAGACCTCGATATTTGCATTCCAGCCATCAGCATCTATTTCACAACTATTATGTATGTGGGGGAACAACAACATTGACACACACTTATCTGGTATGACACCACACATTTACTCACTAAAGAGTACTCACCGTTCCTGACTGTGGCATAGCAAACACATCAATCACTCTGACAGTATAGTCGTCAACAAATTCTCCAAGCATCAGCCCCATAACTTCCATAGGGACACCAGCTCGACCATGCTTCAGCATCTGGGAAATATTAGATTTTAATGAAATACCCTGGAATTTACTTTTTTCTATTACACCTTCACACATTTAGAATTGTAATGTGTTATGCATAGTTGCATTTTTTGAAGACAAACAGATCTGGCTTCCCTGCACATTTACTAAATACATTATAGTTTCTTACACAAGATACGGTAAACCTCTGGCCTACAGGCCCAATTTAGCCCAAAGAGGTTCTCCATCTGGTCTGCGAGCCTCTCAAGTACAGCCTCTGTCCCCTTTCTAACGCTGGAGGAATCTCTAATGTTATCTCCACTCAGCAATTCAAGGCAAAATAAAGAAAAAAAACAGTGAATGAAGAACATGTACCCTTAACCGGTGTCTGGAGATGCACCTATCCCATGTGCTACCTGGATTCATAACAGTTAATCAGCAATATCAAAAAGGGGTGTGCTTCACACATAGAAAATAATTCCAATTGGGACATGAAGCAAGACATGAAGAGATGCAAAATATGACAGGAACCTGGAGCTGCCCCTCCAAGGACACAGAAGGCCTGTTCAACATGCAGACAGCAATACACACTACAGGGAAAACACAAGTTTCCAGATTTCCCTCAGGTTAATATCAAATCACAAGACTCTACCTCTCCCGCCCATAAAGATTCTCCATTCCTGCCACCCAGACTCAAAGTAATTCAAAAGCCTGACTGCTTAAGGAAATGGGATGGTAAACAGTTGTTGAAATTTGGGTAGCCAGAATCTTAGTGATACCATTAAAAAGAAGAGATATGCGTGATGTGTTAAAAACAGTAGTGTAACAGTCCTTCCAATAATGATTCATGTCTTCCAGTACTTATGTACTCAACACTATACAACCTAAGAGAGGTATTAGCAAACTTGGACACTCACAATGTTTGTAAATGGTGGTTTGGTGAGTGGGGGAAGCAAAACTGAATAGTAGGAGGAACTGAGACAGAAAAAAATTAGGAAAACAGGATAGGGTTGCTGAAAAAGAAAAGTGAAAAAGGAAGTACAGCTATCGCAGCGTCCAGATAGGTCACTTCTACTTTCACACTGGGAAGGTATCAGGAAGAAAAATTTGCTTGAGAAAACTCAACCTGAAAATAATTCAGTGTAAATGTTACTTGGTACCACTATTCACTGCTACCTCTCCAAGACCTCTTAAATATGGAGACAAATTAAAATAGAGGGAAAGAATGGAAAAGCAGGATGAGAATGGAAAAAAGAACAGCATAATTAATATGAAAATGACAGAGGTGTTTCATCCTCTGATACCAAGAACTGAAGAACCTTCCCTCCTAATCCTATATGCCCAATGCAGAGTTTTATGCTTTGCCTCAAGCAGATGTGGACAACTCTCACAATATCCAGCCACAAAGAATTGCTGGACATGTAGTCTAAAACATCTGAAGGTCCCCCATTATTGTTATCAGCAATGCTCTCTGCAGTGTCATTCAAATAAAATACACTTACCTTCAAAAGCGCAAGAGAAGAGATGTAAACCTGTTCAGCAGTGTCCACTGCAGGAGCATCAGTAGGAGGTCCCTGGGAAAAGAGGTAACAAAACACTAAGTCTTCTATTTTCGCATGTTATTTTAAACACTAAATATACTTTATTTTAGGATGAAAATACAGCATTTTTAATTGAATAGTGACTCAGGATCTCTCATCTCATATTTCTTATATCATACCCTTCTCTAAGTAGTTCCCAAATGATCAGAGGTAGCACCTGAGTGGCAAGAAACTACTGTACTTATGTAAAAGATGCATGGTGTTTGTATGCTGTACATACAGATGTATACAGATGTATACAACTCATATGTCCCTATTCAAATTTTACCCATCTTAAACTCACTGTGACGCCCTCAGTGAGACCCCCCCTCCCCCCCTTAGCATCTCACCTTCTTTATTGGACTGCTATAGGGATTACAAAACCAATAAATGTTGCCAGTGTTTTATCACACCATATAAATGAAGTCACAATGATTTCCATCATTACAAGTGCAAGTACTTCTCTACATAAACTAGTTTTCCAATGCTTGGGTATTTCAGCATCCAATCAAGAGTAGTAACAAAACAAAACATATACATACACACACAAAACAGTGTGTTCAGTGTGCACAAACACACACGTGCTACCTACAAATTAACTACATGTTTCTTACAGTGGTGTGAATATAAGTGCTGCTGGGTTAGCATGATTAACTGGCACCGGCACAAACACAATTTCCCTTTGCTGCATCAGTTTTCAGCTAAAGAAGACTTGAAGAGAAAGGCTACAGAAGCACTTTGCAGACCCACTGGTGCAGCGAGAGAAAAATGGACCTCCAATCCCTAGGCAGGGAAGCTGTGAACAAAATACTCTGCTCTTTGCTTCATGAGTAGCTAATAAAAAATTAGCACAATTGTCCCAGGTGTGAATGACGACAGAGGCCAAGACTGTGTATCGCTCAAGCACAAATGCCAACTATAACATATGAGAGTAAAAATTATGCCCTTCCTGGGAAGCAAGGCACTTCCTGCCGTTGGCAACAGTGGTGGCAAAATCTTTTCCTAAAAATGCTATGCAAATCTAATTTAATTCCAAAGAGAAGAGCCACGATATTCTGATCATTTAACGACAAAGCATTTTTTTAAAATAGCTGCATCCTGCTTCTCTCATATACATTTAAAGTAGATTTCACAACTATGAAGCAGTAAAGCATAATATATACATTAGGAATCCCTTGAACCTCAATGTTTGTAAACAGAATTTTTAAAATATTCTAATAATGGTTATTCAGAGTGTTCCTTAATAAGAATGATAACCCATAGGATCATAAACAAAAAGACCCTCATTTTAGTTCAGTAGACACTCCTCTATTGAAGTTCTGAGTATTAATATTCAATTAACATCCATGGCTTTGAATATTTCTATGAAAAGACGCTTCTTGTCAGACACTATGAAATCATTGCCACCATATGTAGGTCTCAAGGAGCTGTGGGGAAACTGGCATTCGTCAGGCAATGTATAGTGGCCAGTGCCATTACGATCCTTTCCAGAAATGTAAGGGAAACAAATGAAGGGAATAAGAAGACATGGCCAACAGTAGAAAAAGATTTGGCACAACATCCTCTATGAGGATGGAACCTATTTTTAGTACAACATTAAGAAGGTAAGAGCAATGAGAAAAGAAAATTGTGACATTTTAGTCAATAGAGAAAGCTCTTAAGACAGGGGACTTTTAGTGTCCATTAGAAAACTCCATCCATTAAGGGAAAACAGCAAGAGTTATTTCTCCAAGCTCCTTAGAAAGCCCCACAGTTTTACTAACTATTTTGAATGATTCTTCCAATTTATGCTTTATGCTACTGCTAGAACCGACTTCAATACTTGTACATGGTCAGGACTCTGTTGCTTGTTGACTTATGGTAACCGCTATGAATTTCACAGGGTAAGGAGTACTCAGAGATGGCTTGCCAGTTCCTTCCTCTGAAATATAACCTATAGCACCTGGTATTTGTTGATGGTCTCCCACCCAAGTACAAACCAGGGCTGACTCTGTTTAGCTTCCAAGATTAGTCAGGACCTGCCACCCCAGACGAGTGCATCATTGCTGAACCTCCTGAAAAATGCCTCTGAGGTATTCAATACACACACACACACACACACACACGCACACACACACACACACACACACACACACACACACACTTAAGGAAGAATGACACTTCCTACCTTCTAGGTCTTTACACATTATCGCTTTGCCCTCACTGGTGTTCACAGTATCTCTTAATTTAGCAGCAAATTGTTAATATGCAAGCACACACTATTCCCTCTTCTAGATTATTAAAAATGCTAAACAAAACTTCCCTGAGGTACTTTATACCACAGAGTGTATTTAACTAGTTTATTCTAAGCTCTACTTTCCAATATTCAAATTAGCAATGAACCAACTAAATAATCAATTCTCTCTGTTGTGCTTAGTGAGAACACTCCCAAATGATATACAACCAGAAGAATATATTTCCATATTAATTTTGGAAATATGTTCTATTACACATGTGAATATAATTAGAACAGATCTGTGCAAGTAATCTTAACAACATCCATGAAAACTACAAAAGAGAAAGTAGTTTCAGAACTACAGCAAAGATGTAACTCCACTGATACCTAAGCACTTGAAGTCTGAAGCAGAAAAGTGAATGACAAAGTAAACAAAGAAAATTCACATATTACAAACCTAGACAAAATCACATACACTGAAGCCGATTCTTCAAAATGCCCTCAAGAACAATGCCCAGGGAACACATTTGGCAAATGGAAATGGATATTTTGGTCAATTACTTTGCATTCTCCCCTCCATGTCTGCAAATTATATATGTATCTCTAATCCAAAATTGTTAGAAGGTCTTGTGAGCCTCCCTCCCTCCCTTGCATTTACCCCTCAGCAAAGTTAATGAAGGCGCAGAGAGGCTGAATGCTGAGTTGTAAGGTTATATATCAAACCTCATCTGCCAATCATTTTCTATTTTAACCAGTAACCTACAAGGTGACAAAAAATAAATATACCTCTCCCTGATATACCAGATGTATCATATTCCCCTGAGACTCAATGTGCTAATATCACCACCATGGAATGGAAGTGAACCAAACCGATATACATTTGATCCTTCCCTTAAAAGTAAAATCAGTCATAAAAAGCCAGGAAGAAGCAAACAAACACAGTAAGAAGTTATTTTCTACCTAATGCACACACACACACACACACACAAAAAGGGGGGGGAGGGTTAGGCTGTAGAAATCAATCCTGATTATATTTTTAAGAGACGAAACAGATGCTTCTTTCTGACTAAACTGTCTACCAAGTGTTACTCAGTGAACTGACCTGCCTTCAGGGCAATCGTATCAGCCATAAGCCACATCAATCATTTCTTTTAAGCCATCACTTTCTAGTCAATGTTGAATTTAAGGTAGGCATGCATAATCAAAACGCATTTCTTTTATCTTCATTTAGTGATGCAAAAATGTTTCAAGGGCTCTAAAAGAAAAGAGATCAGGCAATCGAGTGGCCAATCAATCAAATGAGGTTAAAACGAGATGCTGCTTTTCTTTAGGAGCATTCAAATATGATTCAGCTATAAAAGCTGTGACTTTTCCTTGGGCAGCCCTTGTTGACTAAGTGTTAAAAAAGGCATTTGCCATTATAACAGCATAAAACTAACACCTCAAAGTGTTACCTACTCAGGCCTTTTAGCAAATTTGTTAACACTTTTAGGTATATTACTCCACCTTTCCTTTAGTGTGAACTGGTATCAATTATTTAGCCAGTTTTATTATGTTATTAGAATACCTGCTGATTAACCATGAATCAATGTGTCATTTTACAACACTGCCCTTCATGTGGACCATAGATTTCTTTGTTAAACGTGATATAATAGTAAGCAACTGAAAAAAAAAACCCTCTAACAAATAAAAACACCTAAATTATAAAGAAACATTTGTCAGCTATGTCTGGATATTATCTCCAGCACCATCTTAGGCCTTTAAAAGTTTTTTTTAAAGTTCTGAAAACCATTAAAAATCTGAGGCTATTTTGGATGCTACTGTCATTATGAAGGAAATCTCTGCCCTTAAAACTCTTGCATCCGAGGACCAAGGATTAGATCTGCTACCATCTCTAACCTTTATTTTTACAATCAAACCCTTTAAAATATAAACACAACAAAACAGGCACAAGCAAATGTACAACTATCCAACACAGTCATGTTTATTCTTAACCATCAAAGTAAAAAAAGGAACCTTTTAATACTTAATTCTGTGAGTATTAAACAAGTTGTGTGAAAAACAAGATGCATGTAAACTATTTCTACTGCCTCTGCTTCAATGACTAGCTGAGACAACCTGTTATAGGAGGTGTTAATTGGCAATAGGAGTGCAAGTCAGAAGCATGTTCCCCATCGTCCTAACCCAGCAAGGCTAGGTCATTAAAGTGGAAATGAATTCTTTCATGCTGACTTAACTCTTGGAGTGCAGATTTTCAGCTGTTACACCTATAGACAATTGAGAGCGCGTGTTATTTTAGAGGGTAGGGAAAAACCACCCGCCTCTTTAAAGAACCATTGTGTTATGTATACATTATGTTATTGTGTACTACAAATCACTGTAAGAGCACCTAAGGGTTAACACACACTTCTCATATGCAGATTTACAACTAAGGCAGAATAATATATTTCAAGAGACATTGTCTACTTGTATGGGAAAAGAAGGCAACAAGCAGCTTTCCCAAACAAAGATAAATGGTGATTAACATCCAACTGCAGATTTGGGTCAGATCCCATAAGTAGCTGATATAAAGCAGAACAGTACAAATGTCTTAATCTGTGGGTAACTATATCTATTAGCAGGGGCGGCTCAACCCATTATGCAAAGTAAGCATTTGCAGTATAGTTGATTTTGCCCAGGGGCACTTTTAAGGCACTCTTGGGGGAAAATAGACCTTGACATATGCAAGTTGTAGTTACTGGGATGTATAGTTCACCTACAATCAAAGAGCATTCTGAAC